CGCAGCAGCAGCTCTGGAGCCTGCTCAGGGACCTCTGGCGAGCTGTTCAAGGTCTCTGGGAGACTCTCTGCATTCTCATCCATCCCTTTGTCTATTTGCCTGTCTTTGTAAGGGGATGGCACACTGTCCCTGCAGGGCCCTGTGCTGGGCTCTTTGCTTGCATGGTTTCACTGGACCCCACAAAATCTCCATAAGGTAGACAACATTGTGACCCCCATCCTTACGGTTGTGGAAACTGAGGCACAGAGCAGTCCTTTCTGAGGTCGCCTGGCTTCTCTGTGGCAGAGGTCAAATTAGAACCCCAATAGTCTCATTTCAAAAACTAAGCCCTTCACGGGTGGTCTATATTGTCAGTGTTTTATGTGAGCAAGTTCCATAAAATCCTGTCATTGTGGAACCACGGTACCATGGAGTCGTGTCCCTCCTGTGGTTAATTTAGGCACACTACACTAGAGTCTCTTAGAGGAAGGAGAAAAACCCCTCTGTTCCACCTAATGCCTGTGTGTTCTGGAGAGGGCGAGAGAATGGGGTGGTGAATCCACTGGTCCCCCAGGCTGGCCCCTCGTGCCCAGTGCTCCACCTAGCGTGGGGCAGCCCTGCGTGTGAGTCTGGGGGCTACAGGCCTGTGCTTTCCTTCTGTTCTGACCACTGGCTTTGCCTGCCATGCAGCTGACCACACAGCCCCCCGCCGCAGTGCTGGGGGAGAAGGTGGCCGTGCAGGGCTCCTGGAGGGAGGGTCAGCCACTCTCACCGAGGCTTCGTCCTGAGAGGTTTCCCGAGGGCATCTGAGACTGCAGGGTTTCACCACTAACTGTAGGATTTGCCCTTCAGCGTCAGAAGGCTGAGATCAGTCGTCCCCTCTGCTGGTTCTTTTCTAGCTGACACTTGGGGACAGAGCTAAGACTGAGCCGGTTTGCCATGTAGGGGAGTCAGGCTGCATGTTTACTCAGGCCCCAGAGTCTGGGAGAGCGGAAGTTTGGGAGGCTGGAGCTGGAGTCAGGCAGACCCCACTGTCCAGTTCCTGCACTGAATCTTGGCCCAGCTGCTTGCACTGGAGTTCGCTTCCTCCTCTGTAAACTTGGACAACGGCGTCAACTCGCAGGGATCCTGTGCCACTTCACGCAGGTAGGGCGGGCACTTGACTCAGCTTGGTCATCCCTTCCCCTGCTGGAGCCCCAGAGACTTGGCGATTTTTTTTTCATTGTCTCTAAGTGACTAGCGAGGTCCAGTTTCATGGCATAGTCTTTATAACTGGGAGTCTAAGAAAGGGTGTGTGTGCGGGGGGCATTGTAAGGCACTCTTTGGGCCTACAATGTGCTGTACTGAAGCATTTATCCCTGCAAGGGGTGAAGGAGAAGGGGGCAGACTGTCCCCAGCTGCCCCCGGGCTGAGTTAGTGAGTGCGAGGCCCGTTGGGTCAGTGAAATTCATTTAAGCAAGTTCCCTGGTGAGTGAAGGGTCTGGTCAGAAAACCCTTCCCTGCCCAAGAGATGCAGATCTCACCCCAGAGAGAACAACTGGCATGAGACCTTTCGTAGCGCCATGTTGCATGTGTACTGTTTCTCTTCTGGGCTTCTGCTCGGGGGAACAACTGTCTTTGGGTTTATGCTTATGTCACGCTTCTCACTCGCGCAGTGGGCAAGTCTACGCCCTCTGTGCTTTGGTTTCTTCCTCCGCCCGGACACTGTGCTTGGAAATATTCCCTAAGTCCTTGTGTCCCAGTGTGCACCTTGCTTTGGGGGATAGAGTGATGTGGGGGCTTGGATGGTACTCTGCTTCTCGGAGTCGCCTTCTTTTTCTGGGACTCTGCGGTGGCCAACCCCCACGAGGGCCACTTCATTTCTTCCGCTGTGTGCCGATGGTCCCACGGTGTCCTGGCCCTGGTGCCGGGGTCCATCACCTTTCACAGGCATGGGCAAGTCCACCGAACGTGTTCATTTGCTCAGTAAGATCGCATCCTTCCGTGTGCTCAGAGCTAGGGTACAGTTGGGGAGACACACGTGCCACAGTGGTAGGAGCTGGGGGAGACCCAAAGCCCATCTTCGGGGCACTCTGGGAAAGCCCAAGGGAACAGGAGTGGCTAAGCCTTCAAAATGTCTCCCAGAGGGTGGTGGCGGGCCCTTATTTCCAGATTCTCGCTTTAGTAACCCCCCATGGCCTCCGTCATGTCTGGAGTCCAGGAAGAACAGAGTAGAAATACAAATGCAAGTAGCTGACACGTCACTTCCGAGTATGTCTTCGGGCCAAACGCTGGACACAGAGGACCTCATTTAACGCAGAGGTGCCCAGCCCACTGAGACGAGAGCCTGCAGGTTCCTGGGGCACAGGCATTTTCCATCCGTGTCCATACAGATGCCTCGAGACCATCCGTGGCACACGAGGGAATGAGTGGATGCTTGGAAACAGTGCCAAGCCAGACTGAGGCATTGCCCCGCCAGCCTTTGGGAACTGGGCTCAGAGCAGACCTTGAGGACACTTGGGCTCGAGCCCGCTGCCAGCATCCTAGGTGCTGCGAGCCGTCTCTGTGATGGCGCAGCTGCCGGCGTCCTTGTCCCGTTATCTTAGCTCACTTCAGTGGCCTCAGCAGCCCGTGGGTGCGGTGGCCTTGTTTTTAGCCAAAGGCTTTGGTCATGTTTCTTGGCCTTTGGGGAGGTGAGGTCATCTTGGGCAGGTGGCTTGGGACCTTGTGATCCCAGCCTGAGGCTCCAATCAGCCTTTCGCTGTGACTTTGGCTCTGGCCCTGAGATTGGCAGACAGTGAGAAAAAAATGTATCCATTCCTCTCCCTGCTCCGATAAAAGCCCAGAGGACAAAGCCTTGGCTGTTGTTTGCTGATAAATGTTTTTAAAGCCCCTTGAGTGCCAAGCAGTGATGCAGAGTGAAGAGAGGTGGGGCTTTTGCAAATCTCCCCGGAGGGCGTGTCCTCTTTTGAGACCTAAAGATGAACAATCCTTGTTTGGTGAAGAGTCTTGATTTGTTCTTTGTGTACTTTTGAAGATTTTCTCTGCGTATATCTTGCTGTTGGGTTATGAATGCTTCAAAGTGTTCATTAAGTTCCAACTATATGCCTAATATAGTTGAGGGGCTGTTACGGAAACAGTAGAGTCTTGCTTAAAGGCATGGGCTCTGTGTTCACATTGCTTGGGTTCAGATCCTGTTCTCATGATTCATGTTGGATCTCTAAGTGAGTTGATTAGCCATTCTGTGCCTCAGTTTCCTCCTGTTCAAAAGAGGGATTGTGATAGCAACCACTTCCTAGGGCGGCGATGAGGAAAATGAGAACCACGGAATCTGATGCGTAGTAGGTGTTCCAAATGGCCGTTGTTATTAGCAGTTATTATTAATTAACACTAGAAGTTCACATGTAGGGCCAGCGGGTGGTGTGGTGGTTAAGGTGCTAGACTCCCATGTGGTTGACTGCGGTTCAAGTCCTGGACTTGGCAGCTTCAAACTTCCACTGGGCACGTGGACATGCCCACAATCCCAAGAGGAGAATGGAGAAGAAGCGGTTGCGGCGTGGCCATCCTCCCTTGGGGGTGATTTTTTACTTTCTCTCTCTCCGTTTCTCTCTGTCTCTCCAGAGAGCTCATGTGCCCTACAGCAGAAATCTCTTAAAACAAAACACAAAGTTTACATGCAGTCAGAGGTAAGAGGAGAATAGAATGGGCAAGACCCCGAGCCATCCTGTTCTTGAGGTGTTTGCAGTCTATTTGGGGAGCTGAAACTAAGGTGTTTGACCCTCCCCCCCCCACTAGCAAGTAATACAGGACAGTCACAGTTAAGTCAAGTGCTATGGTGTGTATTTCACGTTCTGTAGAACTTGGCAGGGAAGGGGGAGCTGCTGACAGGTGGTAGGAGTGAAGGAGAGGCAGAGGAGGGCACAGAACCTCAGGGCTCTGTCCGAGGAACATTCCTAATCAGAGTGGGAGGGTGCTGAGGAGTCTAGCTGGGGTCTGCATCATGCAGAGGTGAAATGGCCCAGGCATGAGGAGTGGGAATTGGAGGAGAAAGGCAGAGCCTTTTCTTAAAGCTTCTTTTTAAACACAACATACCCACAGAGGACATAGATCGTAACTGAACAGCTTAGTGGATTTTCACAAGCTGAACACACCTGTGTAAACAGCACCCCAGAGTAAGAAACGGAACCTTCCAGCATCCCAGAAGCCCCCCCCCCCGCCCGGGCCCCCCTCCCACTCCCACTGGTGCCCTCTTCCAGCTACTACACCCCTACTGTAACTGCCATCCTGCCTGCTTGCAGCTTGGACTAGTCCCACTGTTTCTTACACTTTCTGCAGATGGACTTGCCAAGCTTGCGTTCCTGTGTTTGGCATCTCTGGCTCAACCTTACCCTTTGGGAATTCTTGTCCCATGTAGCTGTAGAGCCGCTATTCTCATTGCTATGAATTGCCACCACCGTTTCCGTTCATTCGAGTGCTGATGGGCATTTTGGGGCTTGGAATAGGCCGTAGCGTGACCCTGCAAAAGATGCCCTTGACCTCATCCCTGATCACAGGTACCATCACTGGTAATACCTGGGACTGTGTTACTTTACATGGGTGAGAGAGACTTTGCAGCTGGGACCAAGGGTTTTACCATGGGGAGATTACCCTGGAGGACCAGTGTACTTGTGAAGCTCCTTAAAGGAGGGAAGTAGATTCATT